GCTGTCTGCGAATTTCCCTGGAGGCAGGAGGCACTGTCTCACCCCATTCCTAACAGAGGAAGTGCAGAGGAGGAAGGAAGGGCATGAGGAGGGAAGAGTCCAGTACCTGCCAAATGGGGACCTACTGAAGGAACCCGGCAGAGCTGGGATATTTAGTCTGGAGAAAGGAAGACTCAGGGGCACATAATGGCTGGTTTCACATAGCCGAAACGCTGACATGTGGAGAAAGCAGGGGTATGCTGGTAAATGTTTAACAATCGGCTCTTTAGAAAAAATGTTTCACATATGTATGAAATGCTTTGCAATTTAACCCACATTATTAACATTTTGACCTTTGCTTTCTTAAGTCTAGACAGTCAACAGAATCAAGCCCTGACTCGAAGGTTTTCTGGATATACTCCCACTGAAAATTTAACAACAGATTCCAGGCTGGTGTGACCTGGCTGGAGGGAGGTTAGATTTGTTTGGCAGTGGGGAGTAGACTGCACAGCAACGCAAAGGGGTAAATTGTGTCTGGATCTGGGGAAAAACTTGCCAACAGTTAAAGCCGATGCAAAGTGGACAGGCTTCCTTCTCTTCCCAGAAGTCCCCATGTGAAGGGGGGTAATGACTTTTCAGCGGGATACACTAGGGATTTCTCTTCAGTGTGGGTTAAGCTGAATGGTCTTTGAGGCTCCTTCCGAATCTGTCCTTTCAGTATTGGAATGATCTAACTCTTGAATTGTCTCAAAGGTCTGTGTTCCCTTTCTAGACTTTCAACTGAAAAGTGGTGGGATTTCCCTATTCAGGAAAAATCGAAAGTTAATCCCACGTAAAAAAAAAAGTAGATGAAACTCCACGTCTTTAAATGACCATTTGTGAACCAAGGGGAGCTGGGAGCTGTGATGTACGGACAAGGCGTCATGAAGAGGACGTACATAGGGTGCTTTAAAGGCAGCAACGCTTTATCTACATCACCTCCGCTGAGAAAACTCTTTCCTGAGATAAGCTGAACTAATGTATCTCCTCCCCCTTTTTGGGGGTGCTGTGGGCATCGAACGCTACGTATTTGTTCATCCTTCGTTTTCAAAGAGGACCGATGACATCATGGGGCGATGTCTTGACTGGAGAGCGAACTGGATTAAGTGCGGCGGAGCCGCACAAAGTCCTCAGCCTCCCTCTCTCCTCCAGAGCCATCAAAGCCCAGTGGCCCGGGGCGCAGTGGATGACCTCGGTGTCTACATGCACTATATACTACATACTATTACATATGTGCCATACTGTCAGCCAAGGTCAGTTTGGGGTTTGCTGACCTGCTCTTTTTCTTTCTTTTTAAATCTTTCTCACAAAGGGTGGTTCACTGGGTGCAGGAGACAAAGACTTGGAAATGAATGTGATATGAAAACAAAAAAAAACTACAAAAACTTTTTTTTAAAAAGAGAGGGAAATGTATATGTAGAGCCTATATCAGAATGTGTGCTGTCTTGGGGAGGGAGGTGAGGAGGGAAGGGGAGACAATATGAAACTCAGAAGCTTATGGAAGTAATTGTTGAAAACTAAAAAGAAATTTTAAAAAAGAATACAAGAAAAAAACGAGAGACAGAGAGAGAGAAAAAGAGACAGAGAAAAGAGAGAGACAGAGAAGAGAAAGAAAAGAGAGAAAAGAGAGACAGAGAGAGGAGAAAGAAGAGAGACAGAGAAGAGAGAGACAGAGAGAGGAGAAAGAAAAGAGAGAGAAAAGAGAGAGACAGAGGGAGGAGAAAGGAGAGAGAGAAGAGAGAGACAGAGAGAGGAGAAAGAAAAGAGAGAGAGAAGAGAGACAGAGAGGAGAAAGAAAAGAGAGAGAAAAGAGAGAGACAGAGGGAGGAGAAAGAAGAGAGAGAGAGAGAAGAGAGACAGAGAGGAGAAAGAAAAGAGAGAGAGACAGAGAGGTTTTGACCACATTGATGTCCAGCACCAAGAATGGGCACAACGCAGAGCCAACGGAGAACACAGCTACTCTGGGAAATCCTCCATCCTCAGAGTGCTGGCTCTGCCCTTGGAAGCCCGAAGTCAAGGCTCTCCCAGGACTTCATTAGGCCCTACTATAATGGAGAATCCTGAGCATACTCAGAAGGGAGCCTCCCGGAGTCAGGATGCCCAACCTCATACAGGCTCCTTACAGAGAATTTCTCTGCCTGTGTTTCGCTTTCAAGTCTGTTGGGACTACTCAGGCTGCTTTCCGAATGCCACCCCAGTTCAACTTAACAAGCAATTATTAAGTGCCTACTGTGTGCCAGGTACTGGGGAGGCAAAGGCAATCATTAGTAACAGTCTCTGCCCTCTAGGAGCTTGCTTTCTGAGAGATGTGGGACAGAGAGGGGCGGGCTACAACATGCCCTCAAATAAGTAGATTCAGGACCATTTGAAGAGGCAGGAAATCAGGATTGGGGGGATCAGGAAAGGCCATACCTGAATTGACCCTTGATGGAGGATAAGGATTCTAGGAGGTGAAAGTGGTAAGGAGTGTGTGCCAAGCGCGGGAGATAGCCTGGGCAAAGACAGAGGTGTTGAGGACGAGGGATAGCCAGGAAGCCAGTTTGGCTGGGATATGTGGGAGGCAGCAAAGAGTAATGCGAAATGTCTGGAAAGGTCAGCTAGGGCCAGATCACGGAGGGCTTCCAACACCCAGCCAAGGAGACCGTATTTTATTCTAGAGGCATAGAAGTAGACAGCCAGAGAAGTTTCTGGGCACACCTGAGCTTTAGGAAGATTATTTTGGCAGCTGTGTGGGTGATGGATTGGAGTGGAAGCAGGAAGGCCAAATAGAAGGCTAAAGCCTGAAATGCACTGGGTGAGAGGCGATGCAAGCCTCTGCTGGGGTGACTGGGTGGATGGGGGAAAGGGGACAGGCAAGAGATGTTTGCTGTGGAGGCAGAATTGACACCCATTCCATCTCAATCTTCCTCCTCCAGTTTTCCTCAGTTGCTGCTGGCACCTTTTTTTTTTTGCGAGACAATCAGGGTCGCACAGCTAGTGAGATGTTGTTTTATTTTGTTTTTTGGTGGCAATGGGGGTTAAGTGACTTGCCCAGGGTCACACAGCTAGCTAGTGTCTGAGGCTGGATTTGAACTCGGGTCCTCCTGACTCCAGGCCGAGCTGGCTCCTTTCTCTCAGGCTCCAGAACACGTTTTCCTTTTATACCCCAGGCATCTTGTTCTGTTTCTCTGGGTGGGCTACTGTTGGTCATTACCCCTCACCCATGTGGAGCAGAACAGCGGGTTCAGTATCACTTTCAAAGGGCCACATGCACACTCATTCCTGGGACACTGTACCAGCTGGGACATCGGTGGGACAGGAGTTCCCTGCTCTGTAAATAAGAACACATCCAAGGTGGGACAGCAGGGGTGGGTCACTGTCTCCTATTAGGATTAGAAACCCCAAACCTGACCTGAGGGCAGCCCCCAGGGCTGCAGAGGGGCCAACTGTCAGCCCAGATCATCCAGGGCACTTAGGACCAGACCAGGATCTCCAGCGCAACCTTAGCTCGACTTGTCCTCAGTAACCCCAGTGTATTTTCAGCTTTCTCCCCCTGTGACTTCCCTCCCACTCTATGTTATCTTCTGTCTCCGCCATCACACTGTAAGCTCTCCAAGGGCAGGCCTTGTCTTTTGCCTATGTATCCCCAGTACTTAGCACTGTGCCTGGCACAGAGCAGGCGGCTAATACATGCTTCCAGATGTGACTTTAGAACAGAAGGACAGTGTCTTGTGTCTAAACATATTTTCTCTAAGGCCTAGAACAGCTCTGCGGCACACAGTCGGTGCTGGAGAATTAGCTGGATTTGGTGTAAGTGAACAGAAGCTCAGATTCAAGTCAGGAAGACCCGAGTTCAAATCCTGCTTCAGACGCTAACTAGCTGTGGGACTCTGGATAAGTCACTTAATTCCTTCCAGCCTCAGATTCTTCATTAGTAAATCTAATTAGTAATTACTAATAATTAGTCATTTTAATTAGTAATTAGTAATACTAATTAGTAATTTACTAATCTAAATTAGTAAAAATTAGTAAATAACAATAGCTATCATTTATATAGCACTAGAAGGCTTTCAAAAGGGCTTTACACACCTTCTCATTTGATCCTCATAACCACCCTATGAGGTAGATGTTATAATTATTCCCATCTTTTTTTTTTTTTGGCTAGGCAGTGGGGTTAAGTGACCTGCCCAGCATCAAGTGTCTAAGGCTGGATTTGAACTCAGGTCCTCTTGACTCCAAGGCCAAAGCTCTATCCACTGCACACCCTAGCTGCCCCTAATTATTCCCATTTTACTGATGAGGAAGCTGAGGCTGAGAGCAAGTAAGTGACTTTTCCAAGGTCTCACAGCTAGTACTCACTCTGAGGTAGCATTTGAACTCAGGACTTCCTAACTCCAGACTTGGCACTCTAGCATCACCTAGCTGCCTTCTAGGGCCAACCAGAACCTTTTGGATTCCTCCCTCTTACTTCCAATACTAGAAGTCAGCCATCGCCTCCTTCTCCAGTCTTCCATAAAGCCTTCTACTTCCTCCTCTATAAAAATGGGAGAGGATTGGATGAGACAGACCCCCAAGTCTCTTCTACACTCAATGATCCTAGGATTCCCAGTTCCTTTAACCAAACTCTGAGGGCTACGATTGCTTTCTTTTTTTGTCTTCCATCCCTAGGGCCAGCACAGCGCCTGACACAGAAGAGGTGTTTAGTAAAAATGTGTTCAACCGAAATGAACCAGAGAAGAGAGGATTCCCAGACACTGTAAACAGCCCAAGGAAAATCACTAGAGCGAGGGGAGTACAGCTGCCTGGTTGGGGGTCCTCTTCCCTCCCGCTGTGCTGGCCCTCACCTGGACACCATCCAGGTTGTCAGCATCCTTCCTGAGAAATGCCCAGAAGAAACCTCCGCGCTCCAAACGTGGTCTACTGACCAGGCCGAACTGGCATTTATGCTTAGGGATAGGGATGGTCAGACTCATGTCTCCAACCAAAAAAGTCTTGAAACAAGGCAAGGTGAAAATAATGGTAAATTTTATTGGCATAAATCACAGGAATTTAAATGGGAAAAGCAAGGTTAGAAGTTTATAGGGCAGAAAAAATCAAATCAAACTGTTGACCCAGAGAGGAGTTCCCCCAGATGTCCCTGACCCCAAAGGGGAGGGACGGGGCAGGTCACTGTAAACAGAGCACTAAGGCCTCGAGGTGGACATACAGACACCCCAAAACAGAAAAGAGCTGGCCTGGATAGCCCCTGGCTTTCATTCAGCTAACCGAACCAGAAAGCTGAGTGTGCACTGAGATCCCAGCTAACTCGGCCTCCACCAGACCCAGATTACCTTTTGCCCTGTCTGCGGCCCATTTCCAATGACCGGAGGAGGCTCTGGGAGTGGGCAGGGATAGCAGCTCCACCTGGGGGACTCAGGTAAGCTCCCATTTCACCTACTGGGAAATTCTTCCCAGGATTATCCCCAGACCTGGCCTCAGGGGACTTGAGAACATTTCATGGCCCATAATGAGAGCAAGGCCCTTTGCAAAAACCACCATCAGTGTCAGTTGGGTTTCTCCTCCAAGAATTTTCCAAGCACTCGTTATGGTCAGCACAAAACGGGGACAAAGCTGGGGCAGCAGAGCTTGGCGGTCCCAAGCACCCCCTGGCTCCATCATCATCCTTTTGTTAAGAAGGAATCTCTGTTCTATTCTATTCCTCCATCACTCCACCCCAGGTTTCCCAAAGAACAGGGAAAGTGGCACAACAGGTGCTCCACAGAGTCTAGGAGGATGCCCAGAGCCAGAGGGCAGCCCCCTGACTCCTATGGGGCATGCTGGAGCAGGGCCCTGGGGGAACTCAGAAGACACAAGGAGGGCTTGGTTGTAGGACCCCCTCCTTCAACTCCTTATGGCTTATTCTGGCAGAAATTGGGAAATCCTCTCACGTCCCCCCCCAAGTCTCTCCCCACCACCCAACACACGTTATATGCTGACCTCTCTCCTGAAGGCCGGCAAGAGGGCTAAGTTAGCTGAGACCCCGGTGCACAGAGTCAGGGAGGATGGGGGTCTGAATACAGCAGTTTATAAAATGTTCTAGGTGAACTGGGAAGGAGGGAATTAAAAAAAGGCAACTCCCAGGCCGACTGGTTTGTGCTAGAAAAAGATACTGGCTGCCTCTCACCCAGAAGCCCTCAGTACAAAGAAAATCCTACTGGTTAAGAATGCTGGACAGCAAAGGCCCCTGGGTCACTGCCCCCACAGGTCCAAGAGCGGGCAAAGGACAGGATCGAAAGAACATCTTAAAATCTTGTCAAAATCATTCATAGAGAGAATTAAAAGCAACCCAGATAAACAAGAATTCAAACCTCAGTGTAGAAATCTATCAAACACAGGGCAGCGTCCAGTCCGGGGGCCGTGCTCACAGCGTGCCCGCCAATCCTGGAGCCCACAAAGTCAATATAAAATATTATTGCTGGAGAGTCCTTTCTCAGTAGAACTGAGTGAATGAGAGCCACAAGGTGGAGGAGAGAGGCACCTGGGAACTTCTCCCCCACCCCCAGTCTTCTCCCCAGGGGGGTTAATGCTGGCATTCACTTGGCAGGAGCTGGCCGCCCTACAGAGTGCTGAACCAGGGGATGGGGGGGAGGAGGGAAGGGAGGGGAAGGAGGGAGAGAAGAAGGGAGAGGAAGTGGGGAGGGAGGAAAGGAGCGGAGGAGGAGGGAAGGAAGGGAGAGAGCGGAAGGATTATAAAAGTTCTGCCCCTCAAAAACTCCCTGAATGGGCAGCCCTGGTTCTGGGGATGCCCAGTGACCTGGCTAAGAAATGATTCCAGTGTGGGGTGCCAGGCTCAGCACAGCAGGGACGAAACCTGACTGGTTCCCCAGCCATGACAGATCTCTCCCACCATGAAAGAAAGAGAGGCAGGGAGAACAGAGGAAGGGGGAGGGAAGTGGGGCTTGGGAGATCCCTGGGAAAAGGAAACTAGAAACAGGTGTGGCACCCCTGGCCTCTCCTCCTCCTGCCCTTCTCCTGTCCGGCCCCTGCCCCCCTCCCCTGCCATGAGGTCTCTGGGTCCCAGGAGCCCTCAGCTCCCTCGGGGCCCCTCCCAGGTGGGCCTGGGCAGGGGGGAGGCTGGCTGGGGAGGGGAGAGCCGGGGGCTCTAACAGAAGAGCTTGAGGAAGCAGTTTTGACAGTAGGGCTTGTCATTCTGTTCCTTGAAGGTTCCCTTGTTGAGCTGCTTGAGACAGAAGGCACAGACAAAATGCTCCGGGTGGAACTTCTTGGCCATGGCGGTGATGCAGCGGCCCGTGATGGGCTTCTGGCAGCCAGAGCAGAGCGAGCCACGACGCTCGTGATAATGTACCTCACAGTAGGGCTGCCCGTCATGCTCGAAAAAGCTGCCATTGATGAACGGCGTGAAGCATTCCTGACCAGCACAGGGAAGGACGGGGACAGTTAGGCCCAAGGGGTGCTCTGACCAGCAGCAAAGGGGCCCTAGCCCTCCCACGGAGACCTGGGGAGGTGCCAAGGGACCTCAAAGGCAATCCAGACAAGGAAACCGAGCCTCAGAAAGAGGAGGTAGAGGCCAGGCTTGACCCAGCCCTCCTGCCTCCTTACATGGCTCTCCTCCGTGTGACGGCTCCCCGTGACTTGTACCTTGGCCCTGCAGGGGTTCCCAGGGCCCAAGGCCCAGGACCAGACAAGTCTCTGGTGTGACATTAGGAACCCTTGTCTGCTTGCCCCCTCCTCCCCCGCTGGGGAAAGGACTCTGGGTCATACCCCTAAAGCACCAGACACTGAAGTCCATGGGCCTCCCTCAGAAGCAGAACTGAAGACAAAGGGACTCAGCAGAAGGCACAGCCAGGGAGCAGAGAGCGTGCTGCTGAGAGGGCCTTACCCGGCAGACGAAACACTCGGGGTGCCAGAGGGTGTTGAGTGCAGAGATGTAGTTCTCTAGGATGGCCCTGGCACAGCCTCCACATTTAGGGGCAAACATGTCAAAGTAATCTTTTCGACAATACGCCTTGCCATCTTTCTCATGGAATCCTACATGGGAGAGGAGAGCACAGGATACATTCAGAGAAGGTCAGGGCTAGGAGGGGCCTTAGAACAGGGGATGTCAGAGCTGGGAGGGGCCTTAGAACAGGGATGTCAGAGCTGGGAGGGGCCTTAGAACAGGGGATGTCAGAGCTGGGAGGGGCCTTAGAACAGGGGATGTCAGGGCTGGGAGGGGCCTTAGAACAGGGATGTCAGGGCTGGGAGGGGCCTTAGAACAGGGGATGTCAGGGCTGGGAGGGGCCTTAGAACAGGGGATGTCAGGGCTGGGAGGGGCCTTAGAACAAGGATGTCAGAGCTGAGATGGGCCTTAGAACAGGATGTCAGAGCTGGGATGGGCTTAGAACAGGGGATGTCAGAGCTGGGAGGGGCCTTAGAACAGGGATGTCAGAGCTGGGAGGGGCCTTAGAACAGGGATGTCAGAGCTGGGAGGGGCCTTAGAACAGGATGTCAGAGCTGGGATGGGCTTAGAACAGGGGATGTCAGAGCTGGGAGGGGCCTTAGAACAGGGGATGTCAACTGCAAGGGAACTTAGAAATCATGCAGTATAACTCTCATTTTAGAGGAGAGAACTGAGGTCTAAAGGTGAGAAATATCTGGCCAAGGCCACAGAGCAGATCAGAGGCAGGATTCAAACCCAGGTCCTCTGACTTCAAGCCCAGCACTCTTTCCACTATTCTCTGCTGTCTCTCTAACATTAAGAACACAGAATCCCAGATATAAAGGGGCCTGTGAAGCTCAGGAAGGAATCTATCCCCCCCACCACCACTGGGGGCCTCTAATGTAAACATGACCTTCCCCCCAGACACCACTGACCCCCTGCAACCCAAGTTTGGTACCTTCTGGTCCGAAGAAAGCTCCACACTGAGCACAGAAGAAGTGCTCCGGGTGCCAAGTTCGGTCCAAGGCCGTCACCACTTTCTAGAGGAGAGAAACCCCAGAGGGGAAAGCTGTTGAAGGGTCGGTTGCATCCTTTGCCCAGTTCAGAGAGGCAGACCCAAGGCCCAGAGAAATGCAGCCACGTACAGCGGTGGGCAAAGAAGCCCTCTGTAGGCCTCAGAGAAGGCCCCCTACAGGCCTCAGAGAAGCCCCCTGCAGACAAGGGGTGATCTGGGGGAGGCTCCCACCTGTGCTCACTCCTCACCCTCCTCATGGACCCCTCACCACTTATCAATATGCATGTTCTGTTTCTCCAAGAATGCAAGCTCATTGGTCTTTTTATCCCCAGAGCCTGGTATGCAGTAGGTGGCTAATAAGCACTTGCTGAATGAATGAATGCGTTCTCATGCTGTCGGCTAGCCCTGGCCGCCTGTGCCAAGCCTCCCTACTCTCGTGCCCAACCTCCCTTTTTTCGGATACTCTGCCTCCACCCTCTAGGTTTCCCACCGACTGGTCCCTCTCTCATCTCCTGGGACTGTGGACCCCGCGCAGGATGCCACACCGGGTTCTAGCAAGCAGGGAGCGGCCCGTGTGGGGAAGGACCCAGCCACGCAGCTGGGTGGGCATCCCGGCCTCGACCACCACGTGCGCCCCCAGGACTCACATCCAGAATGGGCCCGTTACAATAGAAGCAACGAGGGGAGAAGAGGTTGTGGTAGTCCTTTTCACAGTAGGGCTGCCCATCACGTTCGAAGAAGTTCCGGGAGCCGATCTCCTCCTGGCAGTGGGTGCAGACGAAATGCTCCGGGTGCCAGGTCTTCCCCATCGCCGTCACCACCTGGGGGAAGGGGAAAATGAGGAAGGCTGGCCAGGGGAGGATGGGGGAAAGGAGCCCTAGCAACAGCCAGGAGAAGGTCAGCTCCCCGAGGGCAGGCAAAGCACCGTTCCTTTTTGTCTGTATCCCCCACACACTGAGGCCGGTGCCCGGCACACGGTGGTGGTTGTTAGTCATGTCTGACTTTCCGTGACCCCATCTGGGGTTTTCTCAGCAGACATACTGGAACGGTTTGCCATTTCTTCTCCAGCTCATTTTACAGATGAGGAAACTGAGACAATCAGGGAGAGGTGACTTTCCCAGGGTCACACAGCTAGTCGGTGTCTAAGCCCAGATTTGAACTCTCATCTTCCTGACTCTAGGCCTGGCACTCTATCCACTATGCTACCTAGCTAGGTGTATAATAAACTCAGTTACTAAAATAAAAGGAGGCCTTTCTCCACCCCACACCTACCAACCCACTGAGTCAAGGGATCTTATTCTTTATCAACCCAAGACTGATGGACACCCCCCACCCCCGGGGGTGTATCAGACCTTCTCAGAAACAGATGATGCCCCTGGCCCAGGCTGTTTCTAGTCCCCCCTCCCTTGATACCCCACAAATCTTCCACTCCTCCATCACCTGTCCAGCAATGGGTTTCTTGCAAGCCCCACAGACACCTTTGGCGACCGTGGCCACACCTAATTTGTTCAGGTCTGACTGCAGGCTCCCCAGCATGCTGTCCAGTTGGCTTCCTGGCTTTGGGGGGCCGCCCGGTGGGGAGTTGCTACCCACCTTCCCCTGGGCCATGAACTGTGGAGCAAGAGGAGAAAGGTGGTTGGAACAGGACAGCCAGTGACACCTGAAATCTCTGGCTGGGACACCAGCTAAGTGTCTTCTGCCAACTTGGAGGCTTCCTAGGGTTCGAGGCCATTCAACCCACTCTACAGACACAGTAACTGAGGCAAGCAAAAAATCTGGTGACCTTCCTGAGGCCAAACAACAGAACAGGCACAGATCCATCCAGGTCGCCCCCGTCTCCCTCCCATAGCTTTTGGGGAAGATCCTGTCCTGAAGGTAGATAAGGAGAAAGGAAGCCTGTGGGGTAAGAGAGAAGGGCAGTGGGACAGCGTCCTCTGTGCTAAAATTACCCCCTTCCCCCACCTGCCTCCACTGCCATCTGGACAGCGATGTTCAGCCCTCCCTTCAGAAGTCGCCGAGAGCCCACCAGCCCGCCACCCTGGATCCGACAGGGAGACGAGAAAACTCCCTGAGGAGAGAATAAGGCCTTTTCTTGCAGAGAGACAGATCTAGGCATCTCCACACCAGTAGAAATAGGAAGGGCCTGATGTTTGTTGACCGAATGACCGACTGATGGCCAGTTCAACCCTAGAGTTCAGAGACATCCCATGATCCTCTGTGGCCTGGCTGCTGACAAAGGCAGTTCTTCCCAACCACAGAGCCAAGAAGAGGCTCCCTCCGGGCCCAGGGGACGAGGAGGGGAGAAGCCTGGAGAGATGAGGCCTGACCCCAAGAGAGGGCAGGCTTGGCTGAAAGGGGAAAGGCAGGAGAACTACGGAGGATGCTGGTTTCTTTCTTTCTCTTAGCAGGGCCCCGTTGGAGCTAGGAGCCCAGGACCATGCCCTAAGGGGATGAAAGGGGCAAACCTCAGGAAAGGCCAGGGCTGCAGGGAGCTCACTGCCACGAGGAGACGGGCTGGCTGCCTTCCTGAGGGTGGGAGGGCTGGGGGGTGGACGGGCTGCCATCGGGGCCAGGGGGTGGGCTGCTGAAGTCCCCGTCAGCACCTGCGGAGGAGGGCGACAGGCTGAGGTCAGCATCCTGACCAGGGGACCGGAGGGAGGTTGAGGCACTGCGGGAAGGGGCTGAGATAGCAGGAGATGAAGAGAGGAAGCCAGGCACTGGACTATGATGGCCTGGTTTAGATAGTCCTAGGACCCCCCAGGAGCAGCCTGCCTGAACTGGGGGGAAGAGTGGATCATCGTCAGTCTGACAACCAACAGACACGGTGAGGCGGGCGGCAGCCGGGGTGCGGGGTGGGCAGGAGACAGAGGCCATGCTAGGAAGAGGGCCCAGGGCAGCCAAGGGCCCCTCTTCATCACGGGCATCCTTGACCCCCAGAGGCTCGGGGGAGGTGCGGGCCAGGGTTGGCGGTGACTGGGGGGAAGGGGGCCCACTCTCAGGAGTGTGTCTGAGATACTGGAGAGAAGGAGAAGGAGGAGGAGAGACAGGAACTGAGATGGTTCTTCTCAGGGGAATGGGAGAGTCAGGAGGAAAGACAACCTGGGAAAGGAAGGAAGACAAGTGAAGACAAGAGAAAGGAAAAGCCCCCGAGATCTCGGGGCCCAAAGTCTTGGCGATGCTCCCAAGCCCCACCCCCCTCTCATGCCAGACCAGCACCAAGATCAGAGCAAAGGGCTAAGCCCTATCCCCGAAGATTCCTGAGACCTGAAGAGGATCTGAAATCCTCTTCTGGCCAATGTCATCCAGGGTTTGAGACACCTGGTGGCCACACAACCCCCCAGCTCCTCTTCTCCCCTCGACCCACACAAAACAGCCCTAACTTCAGACAGAGCCAAGAACTGGAAAAGAAGTGTTCCGAACACCCCTCCTCCTCCATCCCGCCCCTCCGGGACCACGCCGAGGAGCCCTGCCCTGATACCTTCTCTATGACCTGTCCCCCATCCCGCCTCCCTCGTGGCTGCACAGTGATGACAACCCCCTCCGTCAGCCAGGCCTCCGCGTCAGCCCCTGCCTCGTCCACCCCCTCTGCCTCTGGCCTGATGCCCAACCGGTCCTGCAACTCAGCTATCAGCCGGTCCTGAGAAGGGGTCTTGAGGAGGACGGCAGGGCTCAGGCGTCGACGCGGGGAGGCTTCCCGCGACATGGGGTGCGCGTGGCCTGTCTCCCGGCTCCTCCTGATCACAGAGCGGATCTGAGAGACAGAGGAAGCCGGTCACGGCTGCATCCTTCCAACAATCCTCTGGCTGCCAGGCAGGCCAGGCAGACACAACTTCTCATTATGTATTTACTCTGGTCCCCATCAAGCAGTGAGGAGCAAAATTCCACACAGGTGAGGACGGATGTTCAAAAAGAGCGGGGCAGTGAGGCACGTCAGACCTCCACCAGCAGAGCGGGGCTCTCCCTCTAATCTTTCTGCACCTTCATTTTCCCATCTGTAAGATGGGGACAGTGACAAATCGTGCCTAGCCCACCTCACAGAGTGGATGAGGCCTCCTACAGACATGGAGCACATAGATTAGTTAAGATATTTCCCTGGCCCGGAGAGAGCTGGCCTGCTCCGGCCTGGGCCCAGCGAGAGTCAAGGCCATGCATCGGCTGCAGCGGTGAGAAATCTATTCTCAGTCCAGGCCCGTTTTCTTCTGAGGACATGGCTGAGGTCACCGGCGCTACAAGCTGAGGGCCTCGCCACGACCGCCATGCACACAACGGCTCCGTCAGGGGCTCGTGCTGTTAGTGCAGCAGGAGGGACGGGGGAACGTCCGGTCTCACACCATGCACTGCGGGCCATGCACAGCAGCTGTAGCCACCCTCCCCCTCTGGTGCCTGCCTGGCCAGAGGTGGAAATCCTCTCTGCTCCCAGGGGCGGCTCCGGCTCGGCCTTCCTGGCCAAGCTGCTCAGGGCTCCTGCGCCCCAGCTTCCCCTCTCGGTGCTCACGGCAGACGCGTCTCTCCAGGTAGTGCTCTCCTGACCCAGCTCCTTCTTGGCCTGGGTGGGGTGGCCGCCATCCTGACCCATCCTCCCTTGCACCGCCAAGGTCCTCTGTGGTCTGGGTTCCTTCTCAGGGCCCCAGGTGTCCGGGAAGACATCCTGTCGGTTCACAGCAACAAAGGCTGGGTCGATGGCTCCTTCCACAGCACAAGCAGCTTCGTGTGGATCCAGGGGGCCTCGGGGCTCCAAAGTCCACAGCTGTTCCCTTGAAGCTTCATCTACCTCCTCCAGACCAGGAGGGTCGATGGGCACCTTCCAAGAGGGGCTGGGCTGCTGGGGCCTTGAGTGTGCTTTGGGCAAGAGGGAGCCGGGACAAACAGCCTCAGGAGGCCTCTTCTCACTGCCCAGACCCGCTCTGGCCCCGTCTTTCTTCTGAGTCAGGCCCTGGTCCTTTGTCCCAGAGAGACGCCCATCCACGAAGGATAACCCAGTGCTGGCAGCATCCGACACCCCCCCAGGCCTGGCTGAATGCGGCCACCCCAGAGGAGGAGGGGCTGTGAGGGGATCTGAGGACAGAGCTGGGCAGCTTTTCCCCGTGCCCCCATTTTCTTCAATGCACAGGACCCCAGAGGCACTCCCTCCATCACCGGAGACACATCTCGTTCGAGGCACCAAAGAAACAGAATTTGAGAGGGTGCCGTGTGGTTCTGGAGAGGTGCCGGAGCGGGCCGAGAGCACTGACCTTGGGGACACGGAGGAGCTGGTCTGGAAGAAAATCAGGACAAAGGCAGAGAGGGAGTTCAAGACCCCTCGGCCTGGGCATGGGTCCATCTCCCAGAGCATCCGAGGTGATTCCTCAGACCTAAGCAGCTCATGACGGGGAGCTCACTTCCTCCCAGACACTCAAAGAACAGCAAGCCAGGCCCACAGACCACCCGGTCCCCCAGCAGGGCATCCTCCAAGGCCAAAGAACAGCCAAAAAGCTCATAAAAGGAAGCACGCTTCAGGGGTCAAGTGGAGGGGGGCATCTCTTAAATGGCCCAGTGGGGAGGGAGGAAAAGTCCAAAGAGGGCTAAGAAGAGAAAGGTGGATGGGCACACACACACACAAACACCCCCCCCCACTGTGGCCCAGAGTGATGGCCAAACAGGAGTTTCTGGTGACCTACAAATGCCACATTTTGCGTTCCCAGGGGCCAACCCCCGCTGGTCTGTCCCTCCCTGGCCCTGCAGCCTTCTTTATCCAGCAAAAGGCTATCATCCTTGCTCCCCACCTCGAGTGTGTCTTCTTGGAGGCCTCATGCTTTCCCCCGCCCCCAACAGACACCATCTGCCGCATCATCAGCCATCGTACAAGTGCCAACCTTAGCCCCCAATACGGGGAAACCTCTGAGCCCGGGGGCCAGCGGGCGAGAGAACTCTCCAGAGGCACGTCCTCTGGGTCGGTGAAGAACGAGATGGCGCCACCTGCCCACATGGAACCAGGACAAAGCCCGCCCCTGGAGAGCCGAGTTCAAGCCCCCTAGCAGAAAGCTCAGCCCCTCCTCATCAAGAACAGAAGGCCGACGGGACAGTTCCCCCTCCCGTCTGCTCAGCTCCCTGTTCCTCCCTCTCTGCCCCTCCCCAAGGCTGCCACCTGACCCAGAAGGCACGGCCAGGTCAGCAAACTACTGGAGAAATCAATCACCATCAATACCCATTTAGATCCTGGCAGACCTCTCATCTTCTAAATAAAACATGCCAGCCCATCCCTGGGTTGGGGGGAAGCAGAGAAGGTGGTCTGGAGGCTGGGTTGGGAGGGGCTCAGGGCAGGACAAGAGACCAGTCTCAGAATAAGCTACTGGTCAATGCCGGCCCGCCAGCCAAAGGTGTTGGGTTTCCCACAGTCGCGGCTGGTGGGAAGGAGAGGCCCAGCTGCCAGACCACAGAGAGGGAGGGAGGGAGGAGTGTGAGGCTGTGGAATCAGCCCCATGAATTCTGGGCAAAGGAGAAGTAAATGATCAGGGGACTGGCAGGCAGAGAGAGGGGAGTGGAGGTGCCAGTGAAGGGGGAGGGGGCCAGAAAAGGACATCGGTCAATGCCACACAGGGGGTCTGGGTAGGTGAGAGCTGGCCCCTGGGCTTCAGGCCCTCGGGGTCAACGTCCTCCCTCCCTAACCCCAAGAGCAATGACAGAGGCCCTTTGTCTGCTCCGGGTCCACCAACCTCAGCAGCTAAAGAGGCAGCACCCACCTTCGACCTGACCTGGCCAAGGCAACATCCTGCTGCCCACCCAGCCGGAGCCAGGGCAGCCCCCTTGGCTGTGGGTCCCCTCTCCCTAGCCTCCAGTGGCTGACCACAGAGCGGCAGGCAGGGCATCCCATGCTCAGATTTGGGCACAGGTCCAAGGTGAGACTGGGAATAAGGACACTGGGGTGATAGGAGCAGGCGAAAAGACAGCAGAGCACCTTGAAGTCCGAGAGGGAGGCCATCAGCTCATCCAGCTCCCTGGTGGCCGAGGAGGCCGAGATGCGGGTCTGCTGCTGGCTGGACGTGACACGCTGAGGGTTGTTCATCTCACCCTGGTTCACAGTGATGGCTGGGCTATAGAGGAGGGGCACAGGCATGGTGAGCGATGAATTTTGGGGGCATTCTCAACATTGGGATCAACCACCCCATCCCCAAGGCCTCAACACCCCCAGTCTACACTTGGGGCTCACTCTGCAAAGGGCCACACCGAGCCAGGCCCTGAAGCCTTTAGGAAAGACAAGTGAGTCTAGGGAAAGGTGGGGGAGAAGTCTTTGTGACAGCTCTCTGAAATGTCTCAATTCAATCCAAAAGCATTCACTAAGCACCTACTATGTGCTGGGACTAAAAAGGAAAAAAGTGCCTGCCCTCCTGGTGAATGCATCCTTATTCCAAGGATCTGTGACTCCACCAGCAGGGGCTTCCTGAAAATCTGGGATCACACCAGAGAACGTCTCAGGGCTGTTTGTGCATAGTAATAACATCAGTAATCAGCCCCATTTCACAGATGTTCAAAGTGAGGCCTAGAAATGACACGTCACAGTGTCAGTGGTGGAATCTGAGCCCGCTCCCGCCTGACCCCAGGCGCAATGCCCTTCCTAACATACCCTGCTGACCCTGACCGTGATGAGGAGAAAGGAATGCAGGATGAATTCCTGTCCCGTCCCTGGCTCTTCCTACTTCTGCGGGGATCCAGAGGGAGAAGGAGAGATTACTTAGCAAGTCCACAGGGAGGGAGGGAGTGGTCAGGAATGTACCACAACCCCTCAAACCTGACAAGAATGCCCCAGAGAGCAGGGGCGGCCCCCGTGCCACTCCACTGCCCAGGCCAAGCTGGCACTCACACAGGGCTGGGCACGGAGCTCTCCAGCTCATCCAAAAGGCTCTCCACACTGGGCCTCACGTCCTCTGGCCCCCGGGCTCCGTTCCGCTTGGGCTTTTCTTTCACCGGGGGGGTAGCCTTTCCCCCCAAGGGGCTGTTGTTCTCGGGGATGCCATAGTGAGCGCTCAGCCCCCCCGGCAGCGGAGGGCTCTGGTTGGCGTCATCTTGGGAGAGAAGAGGAGAAAGTCCAATCAATGCCAACGCCAGCTCACGCTGCCGCCCGGCAGGGGAGCCTGAGAAATGAGGATGCAAGAAAGCAGCCCCACCCCCCACCCCTCATCCCGGGGACATGGCCATACCGACAAGAAGCCAGACGCAGGGCCGTGCTGGACTGCATTCAATTCCAGGAGAAGGCGGTCAAGTTCTGACAGGTTACTGCCCAGCGAGGCGCTCATGATGGTGGGGGACGGCTCAGCTGATTTCTGCTTGTTGGGGAAACTGGGGGAGGAGGAAAGGAAGGAAGCCCATGAGAATCCCTGGAATGGCAGGGGAAGGGGGGGGTGCACGAGACAGTGACCCCTGGGTTTCTGTCCAAAGAAGCATCTGGAGGGTTTAGGGGCCTGAAGCCCACATCCTGGGGAGTCTGCAGCTTTATTGACAGCTTAATGTCGGCATAACTTCCCAGAGTGTAGAGCGGCCTCCTCAAAGGTCCTCAGGAAGAGGCAGATGACCACTTGTCCGGACCCTTCCACAGGTATTCCCAGGGGGCCGGGCTGGACCAGGCGCTGCTGAGCACCCTGTCAGCTCTTGGGGAGCACGAGGCCCGGGAGGAGGAAGGCAACCTCTCCAAGCCGGAGGATGTGCAATGGGAAGGGGAGGGATGTGGTAAGTCAGGAGAGGAAGGAAGTCTGGTTCCTACCCTCAGCTACCCAAAGGGGTAGCGGAGGACCGGAGCAAAAGCTCCCAACAGTCAGAACACAACAGGAACGTGCGTGAGGCAAGTAACATAGCTGAACTAACGGGGAAGGGGCAGGAGGAGAGGGGAGACAGAGAGGGGAAGAGTGAGGGGGGAGAGAGGAAGACAGGGGGAAGGGGGAGGGGGAAAAGGGGGGAGAGGGAGAGGGGGGAGGGGAAAAAGAGGGAGGGGAGAGGGAGACAGAGAGGGGGAAAGTGAGGGGGGAGAGAGGGAGACAGAGAGGGAAGAGTGAGGGGGAGAGAGGGAGACGGAGGAAGGGGAGAGAGGGAGACGGAGGAAGGGGGAGAGAGGGAGATGGAGGAAGAGGGAGGAGGGAAGAAGGGGGAAGGAAAAGATGGGAGGGGGAGACAGAGAGGGGAAAGTGAGGGGGAGAGAGGAAGACAGAGAAGGGAAGAGTGAGGGGAGAGAAGAAGATGGAGGAAGGGGGAGAGAGGGAAGAAAGGGGAGGGAAGATGGGGGAGGGGAGAGGGGGAAAAAGAGGGAGGGGAGAGGGAGACAGAGAGGGGAAAGTGAGGGGGGAGAGAGGGAGACAGAGAGGGGGAGAGAGGGAGATGGAGAGGGGAAGAGTGAGGGGGAGAGAGAGAGACAGAGGAAGGGGGAGGAGGGAAGAAGGGGGAAGGGGAAGATGGGGGAAGGGGAGAAGGGAAAAAAGAGGGAGGGGAGAGGGAGACAGAGAAGGGGAAAGTGAGGGGAGAGAGAGGGAGACAGAGAGGGAGACAGAGAGGGGAAGAGTGAGGGGAAGAGAGGGAGATGGAGGAAGGGGGAGGAGGGAAGAAGGGGGAGGGGAAAATGGGGGAGGGGGAAAAAGAGGGAGGGGAGAGGGAGACAGAGAGGATGAAAGTCAGGGGGGAGAGAGGAAGACAAAGAGGGGAAAGGGGAGGGGGAAAGAAGGAGGGAGAGCAAGACAGGAGGAGAGGGAAAAAAGAGGGAGGGGAGAGGGGGAGACAGAAAAGGGGAAAGGGGGGAAAGAAGGAGAGGAAAGAGAGGAGGGGCAAGGGGAGGGGAGGGCTCTGGCTCCTCCTAATGACAAAAACCACCCCAAATGACACGTCTGTAGCTCTCGCAGTCTGTAGCTCTCGCAGCCCCTTACGTTAACGGTCTCATTTGAGGCTCCCTACAATTCTGAGAAGTTGGTGGGACAGCGATTATATCACATGCACAGACTCTGAGGTACAGAAGGGATCCCAGGCAATCGGATAATCATCCATTCAGAGCTGGACGAGATTTTAAAAGCCACCTCGCCATGCCCCCATATTTTACAGACAAGAAAACCAAGGCAGGCAAAGAGATTAAATGACTAAAGCATAAAAGGGTAAATGACTGAGAATCTGGACAGGACCTCACAGGCCAACGATTCCAACTCTCTCCCTTTACAAATGAGGAAACTGAGGCAGAGAGAGGTGAAGCGACTTGAGGCAGCTGGGGGCGCCACAGTGCACAGAGCACTGGACCTAGAGTCAAGAAGACCCGGGTTCAAATGCAGCCTCAGACACTCACCAGCTGGGTGATCTCTGCCTCAGTTTCCTCACCTGTAAACTGGGAACATTAAGAGCACCTAGCTCCCAGGGCTGTAGAGAGACTCAAATGACGTTAACGCATGTAAAAGGCCTCTGCCATTTTTAATGTGCTATAAACACACTACTTGAGATTATTATTATTATTTTTATTATCATTATTATTCTCCTCACTACTGCCCATGGACCCTGGAAGCACGCAGGCTGGCTCCTTTCCCACTGCACTGGGCAGAGACTTTGTTCAGAAGACAAGCCCCTGCCCCAAGCTGGGTGCCTAGGGGGACGACATGGGGTGGTACCTGTACACGTGCTCTTCCTCACTGGCTCCACGGGGACAGGGGGACCCAAGGCTGTCCCGGGACACAGGGACGCTGGGATTTTTCACACTGGAGCTGTACACGGGAGACTGGGGCGGAGGCTGCAGAGATAAGACACCATGAGGGCCTGGGCTGTGGAAGGGGTGAGCCGGCAGCTCCACCCCAGAGGAGGGGGCGGGGGGCAAGTCGAGGGGAGGATGAGCGGCCCTGAATCATCTGCCACCCCCTCAGGAGGCTCACACTCATCCTCTCACGGCCCACAGGGGGCTTTCCGCTGCCTGGTGATTAACACTGTTCGCCACTCCTACTGTGCTTGGGGGACGGTACTTGTTGGGATGACTGGGGCCTCTGGACCCTTCTCTCCTCATCCCTTCACTTGTCCCCCAGCCCACCTCTTCCCTCTAGGCCCCCCACTCGGCTCCATAACCAAGCCCGCAGGACCCTCCCCATAGTGTGCCTTGCCTCTCAAACCTGCCCCCACAGCCACAGGGTCTACACACCCTACCTGCTGGTGGACGTATCGGGCGCCACCAGTCTGCCACTGGTCCAGGGGGTCAAGGACTGTGCCGTTGAGCGCCTCGCTAGAGGGGGGCGGGGGGACCGGCGGGGGCACTGGAATCTCTTGATACGTGTGGTTTCCCGTCGGGTAGGAGTAAGGGGTCTCTTCAGACAGGAACACAGGCCGTTTGGAGATATGGGAGGTGGTAGACTCCAGGTCCGCGAGCAGGGCGTCTGGTAGGGACAGGGGAACACAACAGGCACATGAAACAAGAATAGCCTCCCACAGGCACCGGCTACCCCCCATGGCCTGAGGGCTTTCCCTTGCCCCTGACAGGGGCCAGGACAGCTTCTGAATCCTCCAGGCTCCAGGGTGAGGAGACAGGAGAAGGCAGACACGTGACCAACCTTCCTAGGGTAAGCTGGGGGTAGCCTGCAGCCTCCTGCTCACAGCCGATGGCACACTAGGCTGTAAACCAACTGCCTGCCTCAGTGGTCCCCCCAAGCTCCATCCCAGCAAACCTGAAAAGGCTCTTCTGGGCTCCCGGGGCTACTCAGCACCCACCTCTGGGTTCCAGGGCCCCCTCCCAACAAGTTGGCAGAGCCCGGGGCTCTCTGGGAGAACTCTGGGCTTTCCAAGAAGGGATAAGGAAGGAGCAGGAGGGATGACTACACTGGACAAAGGAGGAGCTGGGAGGGCCTCCCACATCACTGGGAGGGGCCCAGCCTTCCCTGGCTCTCTCCTCGTCAGAGGGGAAAAGGTGCCAGCTCTGGTGGGGGAACTGAGGGTCACAGTATGGCCCGAGATGGGGGCAGGACTGCTCAGAACACGGAGGGGCCCGGCATCGAGACGGAGAGGAAACAGCCTCTGGAGAAGAGGCTGCCCCCGGGCCCCTCAGGTGAGGGCCTGGAAATCAGAGCCTGGCCCTGTCTTCCCACTCGGCCAGGTCCTCTGGACCCAACACTCAGCCCCAGGCCAAATCCACCAGCATTTATCATGATCTGGAAGTCGGTGCGAGCACAGACCATCCCTGTCCATGAGCACTTTACAATCTAATGGAAGGAAACACCCCCTCCACAGATGAAATCGGGACCAGGACCAGGAAGGTGCCAAGGAAGGAGGCGGCCTCTCCCGTCTTAGAGAACAGCCCAGAGCAGAGGGGTCAGAGGCTGGGCTAAAAGGCACCTGGGCCCACAATCTCCAGCTGGCTACAGCTAGATTAAAATGGAATCAGGAACTATTTAAAAAATAAAAATAATGCTAATAACTGGTTTTCTAAGACAACTGTGTGGCCAGCAGGGATCCTTCTGTCTGGTTTAGTGGCCGAAACGTCCAGGATCACAAGCCAGCATGCTTCAGGCACAGGACTTGAACTCAGCTCCCAGACCAGGTTTCTATCCATCTACCCCACACGGCCCCTCGTATGTGCCAATTTGAGGGTAAGGGTGGGGAATCAGGACGGTTTCTTACAGGAAGGATTTGGCAGCCAAGCTTGAGAGCCAAGAAGCCAAGAGTTCAAATTCTGGCAGACAACTTTTCTAGGCCTCAATGTCCCTAGTTGTACAATGGAGGGGTTTTGCCTTGATGGTGTCTGAGACCCCTCCTACCCATGAGGAGGCCCTTAAGGGCAGCTCCATCTGCCTCTGGCCCAAGCTGCCTTCTTGAATTTTTAACCAGCCCAGTCCTAAATACCTCCCTCCAGTCCTCCCAGGAAAAAGGAGGGAAGGCCAAAGTCCAGGGCTCTCGAGCAACTCCAAATGCCAAGACGTCTGCTGACTCTGAGGATGCCCCCCCCAATCACTGGTCAATGCCCACCCCTTCTTCCCTCCCCAGCATCAGGAGTCAAACCTTGTGCTATGGTCCCAGGGGAGAGGTCGTCTCCAGAAAGCAGGTAGCAAAAAACTTATACCCTCCAGCCCAGGGAAATCTCGGAAAGGTTAGGGTGGGGCAGCCCGACCTGGAGGACAGGTCCCCTGACGTCACAGAGAGTAGACTTCCTGTGGTCCCACCCCATCCCTTCCAGACACCCGAGGAGCTCCCACAAAGAGGTGGGGCTTCCTCTTTCTCAGCCAGGTGGAAGTAGATGGAGGCCGGCTCTAGGTGAGCTGGGAAGGACTGGGTACAGCCCAGCCCAGATGGCCTCTGAGCAGCTGGGGCGGGGGGGGGGGGGGGGGAGGTGTGGAGGTGGGAGTGTTGTGCCTTGGCCCCCCAGCATCCAGATCTCTGGGTGCTCTATTAATGCTCCCTGGAGACAGGTTCCAGAGAAGCTCCCAGGAAAAGTCAAGAAATGTTACGGAGCTGGACCCAGCGCCAACCAAGAACCCTTTCTATGGCATCTCTTACCAGAGGTCCCCTGGCCTCCCCATGAAGATCTCCCCCTCCACACTCCCCACTCTGGCTTGTCCCTACCCCCTGAGCTCCACCCGAAGGCAGGAGGTGACAGAGGGGTGGATTTGGAGGCACAGCACTTGGGCTCTTTACCTGGGAGACCCTGGGTAAGTGACTTACCAGCTCTCGAACCCCGGGTTCCCTCATCTGTAAAATCAGGGGGCTGGGCTGACTTCTAAGTTCCCTCCTAGTTCTTACATTCTATGTCAGTGAGTCAGTTAATAATTAATGTCAATCAATTAATAACTAGGTGGTACAAAATGCCGGGCCTGGAGTCAGGAAGATCTGAGTTCAAATGTGACCTCAGACACTTAGTAGCTCATGACCCTGAGCAAGTCACTCAACCCTGTTTGCCTCAGTTTCCTCATCTGTAAAATGAGCTGGAGAAGGAAATGGTAAACCACTCCAGCGTCTTTGCCAAGAAAACCCCAAAGGGGGTCACAAAGAGTCAAACACACCTGAAAACAACTGAGCCATAAGAAAATGTGCCGGGCGCTCTGCTAAGCACTGGATGCAAGAAGAAGCAAAAGAAGCCCCTGCCCTCGAGGGGCTTGCAATCTAACAGCAGAAACAGCAAGCAAGCAAATTACATACAGCATAAAGGACAGATATTCTTCTGTTGGCTTTTTTTTTTAAAGCTCTCAGCCTAGGGGAAAGGGGAGGTATACATTGGGAAACAAGGGCGATGTCGAAACAAAAAAAAAAACCACTGAGACATTTCCTGTTACTGTTTGAAGGTGCCTGCATCCAGGGCTGTGCCTGAGCTAATCTGAGCCAGCTAGAGCTGATTGTTAAATTTTCAGTGTGAGCATTTACACCTCAGGAATCTGCAAATCCGGGCTTGACTTAGTGGTTCTGTTGATTGTGAAGACTTAGAAAAGTAAAGGATGAAATGTTAAAAATGCAGATTAAAGATGAAAGCGTTTCTAAGCACGTGCCCCTCCCCCCACAGAGAGCTGGTTGTTAAAACATTTACCACGCACCCCTGCTGCCCTCTGCCATTTTGTGCCTCGGGATGCCTGGGGGCCCCTCCAGCTCTTTATTTGTGATCCTAGGAAACAGGATGGAGAAGAGGGAACGCCAGGACCAAAGGCAGACAGGCCTGGAGGAGGCAGGGAACAAGGGCTCAGGCTGCACTCTGGGGCCATCTGGATCCTAATCTTCGCATCGTGGTGAAATGGTTAAAGTTCTCAAGTTTCCTCCACTGGTATGAGTCAACAAAGCTCAGGGCCAGACTGGGAGGAACCAGGGGGGAAGAAGGAGGGATCCTCTGGGAGAGGGGAGGCTCCCCTCCTCTGGGTGCCCGGGCCGCAGCGGCACCCACCTGCCCCCGTCTTCAGTTACGGCCCCCCTCCCCCTCTCCTAAGCTCCTGGACAGCGGCCCTACCTTCAAGAGAAGCCCTGGACAGGCCCCTCCCAGCCACCCTGACACACACTCTCCTCCCCAAGGCCTAGACCCGTCCCCAGTCAAATCAACCAACATTCACAGAGCGTCTGTTAGGCATACAAGGCAGCACGCTCCTGGTGCTGAGAGGGCCAACACCAATAATAGAATGTTTACATCGGGCAGGACAACCAGCATACGGAGGTCGGAGGTCCATAGGGGGAGCACAGAGCAGGCGATCATAGAACTCTAGATCTGGAGCTAGAAGGGACCTCGCAGGCCAACAAGTGCTCACAGATCAGGAAACTGAGAAAGGTTAAGTAAATCACCCAGAGTCGCACAAATGTTTGGGGTGGGATTTGAACTCGGGTCTTCCTGACTCCAAGTCCAGCACTGGGAAACCTAGCTGCTTCACAGAGTGCCCGGCCTGAGTTCAAATCCTGTTTCACACGCTTCCTGGCTGTGTGACCCTGCGCAGGTCACACACACTCTCTGACCTTCAATTTCCTCATCCACAGAAGGCCCTATCAACAGCACGTGCCTCCCCCGTGACTGTGAAGATCTCTGTAAAGCGCTCTGCAAACCTTAGCACCACACGCAAATGCCAGACACGGGGGCAGTTGTTAAGAAAATGCAAAATAACTCCTGACGGGAGGGACCACAGCTCCTGTAGAAGGCAGAGGCGAGAACCCCTGCCTCAGAGCTTCCACTCTACGGCCTCTGGACAGACAAGCAGACAAAACACCCTTTGCAAAGCAGAGCGACCCTAACAAGTGGAGGATGAGGAAAGTTCTCGGGTAGGAGACGGCCAATGCAGAAGCCAAGGCTCCTCTCGCCAAGGATCGGACTCCAGAGGACCTAGCACCCAAGGCCCGGAGGTCAACCCGACCAAGCTCCCATTTTACAGATGAGAAAGCTGAGACCCAGCTGGGGGAAAGGACACGGCAGAGCTGGGCTCCACCTGCTGCCCACTCTGGCTCCCAGCACCCGTCCTTGGACTGGGGGTGAGGGGCAGGCAGCTGACCTCTGCCTCCAGAGTGAGTTGTTCCTCCCCCACCCCCTTACACTGGCCTCAGTCTCCCAACTTTCTCCTTCTGGATTAGCTGGTTATTAAGCACCCACTGTGTGCCAGGCACTGTGCTAAGGGCTGGGGACACAAAGGAAGGGGGTGGCCCAGCGGATAGAGCACAGGCCCTGGAGTCAGGACGACCTGAGTTCAAATCTGGCCTCAGACACTTGACACTTAGTAACTGTGTGACCCTGGGCAAGTCACTTAACTCCCACTGCCTAGCCAAAATAAATAAATACATACATACATACAAAGGAAGGCAAAAGCCAGTCCCTCAAAGAGCTCCCAGCCCAATGGAGGAAACCACAAGCACCCAAATAAGTAAAGAATAAATAGGAAATAATTAGCTAGGGAAGGAGGGGGTGGGGAAGGCTTCCTGTAGAAGGTAGGATTTGAGCTGGGACTGAAGGAAGCTGGGGAGGTCAGTGGTTAGAGCGGTGGAGGGGGAGCAGTCCAGGCATGGCAGACGGCCAGATGGAACGTCCAGAGCTGAGATGGGGGGGGTGGGGGTCTTGTTACTGGATGGAAGAGGATGTGCTGGGGGATGAGGTGTAAGAAGACTAGAGAGGTGAGAGGGGGCTGGGGGATGAAGGGCTCTGAACGCCAAACAGCATTTTGTATTTGCTCCCAGAGGCCACAGAGAGCCACTGGAGTTTACTGAGAGGTGGGAGGGCTGACAGGGTCAGAAAATCTCTTTGGGGGCTGAATGGAGGATGGACTGCAATGGGGAGAGACTGGGGCAGCCAGTGCAATGGTCTGTGCAGGAGATGATGAAGGTCTGCACCAGGGTGGGAGCGGGGTCCCAGGAGGAAAGGGGCCTATCAGAGAGACGCTGGCACCAGCTCGGATCTGGGGGCTGAGAGAGGGTGAGGTGTCCAGGACAGCTCCTGGCCTGGGAGCCCGGAGGCCTGGCAGGATGGTGGGACCCTGGACAGTCAGGGAGGTCTGGGGGAAAGAGAAAGAATTCTGCTTTGGCCACACTGGGTCTAAGATGGTCTGCCAGACGTCCAATTCGAGATGTCTTGGAGGCAGGCAGAGGCGCAAGCACAGAGCGGGGCAGGGAGGCTTCACTCTGCTTTCTTGCCCAAACCCCCTGGCCTTCCTCTCCCCTCCCAGAAAGGAGCCACTCTGAGCTGTGTGTTTTTGTCATTGTTGTTATTTAATTTTCCTAGACCAAGTGACCCCAGGTCAGGGCACTCCACCCACCACAAAGGGGAAGATGAGGTCACCAGTCTGGGGCTAGCCAACGTGGGGGGAGCAGGGAGGCAGGTTCGCAGAGGCCAGGGCCCGCCAGTGTCGAGCCATAGCCTTTCTGGCTCACAGGTGGCTGGTTCCCCTAGGCTGGAGCGGCCCAACGTGGGAGGCATGGCCTTCCTGCCACAGGGCAGAGGCCTGAAGGTGGAGTCCAGGGCCTGGGGGGGCAGTCCCAGGGGAGTACAAGGGACCGAGCTGGTGTCTCTGACCACCAGAGCGCGCTGTGGACACACAAACCCAATCTGGGAGTGGAGCCCAGTACCCAAAAGTAACCTAATCCCCGTTACTCAGTAAGGCCCAGAACCATCCAGTGGTGGGGCTGCAGGGGACTGACCCTTCCCTAGGGCACCCTGGGAGTTCAGGGCAGCTGAGAGAAGGGCCAAGCCTGCTCCTGGGGGCCCAGAGCCATGGGGAGGGAGGGCAGCTCTGGCCAAAGCTGGACAACCTTGGCCCAAGCCACCTGACCCCTCAGCTGGAGAGTGACCTGGAAAAGCTGTGTGTCCCTGGACAAGTCTGAGCCCCGCAGAAACGGGAAACCAGGGATAACTAGACCGGCTACCTGCATGCCTTCACAGCCCTGGACAAACCTGAAAGTCTAACCACCCCAGAATCCTGGGATTCCCTCCATCCAAATGGGGGTTATTATCATTCCTAAGCTGGAGGGAGGCCCAGGAAGGGACTCCCAGATAACCACCTGGGCTAATTTCCATAGAGGCTCTGTAATGTAAATCACATTAGGAGGGCTCTGCAATGTAAATTTTCCCATTATGGTCTTCTGTTTCTCCATCACCTTCATTTATTATATCATCTCCTCCCCATCCCATCCAGGGAGGCAGCCTCTAGAACAAAGAATCTGTTTAAAGGCTCTTCAGCCAAACCAATCAATAAAAGTCTGGCAATGCACGCAATATTCCACACCCCCAGCCCCCACCTCTGCAGAGGGGTGGAAGGTGCATTTTCTTGGTGGACTTACTAGTGGACTTATCTGTGAGTCTGAACCCGGCTCTGGAGAGGGGGTCAAACAATGCTAACAATTATAATAGAATCCTTCAGATTTTACAAAGCACTGGACAGATTACTGTCTAGTTTGAGCCTGTGAGGAGGAAGCTACAGGTATAATTATCAGGTAGAGGTGAGAAAAGTGAAGCGACCAGCCCAGGCTCACCCTGGGAAGGGACGTTTCACACACAGTGAAACTGGGGTCAGAAGCAAGATTTCAAGCAGGGCTCTCTGCACTATGGCCCCCAGCCCCAATCCCTAGGGCCAGGCCAGGCCTACCAGGGCTCTTTGCACTATGGCCCCCAGTCCCAATCCCTAGAGCCAGGCCAGGCCTACCAGGGCTCTTTGCACTATGGCCCCCAGGCCCAATCCCTAGGACCAGCCCAGGCTTACCAGGGCTCTCTGCATTATGGCCCTCAGCCCCAATCCCCAGCACCAGGCCAGGCCTACCAGGGCTCTCTGCACTATGGCCCCCAGCCCCAATCTCTAGGGCCAGGATAGGCTGCAGGGAGCCCCAGAGGAGCTCGGCTTTGTGGGGGCCCTCTGCCCCAGCTGCTGCACAATCTGGGCACTGCCCAACTGTCTCCTCCCTGGGACCTTGGTCATGCCCACCCCCTCCTCCCATTACAAGGCTTGTATCTGTCAGCTTTGAGAGGCATCTTCTGGCTCAGTCCAGCCCAGCACAAAGAGAGACTAGGGACCTCCTGGGGGGCTGCTTCAGGGATGGAAGCCCACCTCCACTGGGCAGTCTGACCCAGAGAGGGTTTTTTAGCCTGGGGAAGAAGCAGTAGAGGGCAGCTTCTTGGCGGGGAGGGACAAGCTGATCTCTCCCTCAGCCCCCAAAGCTCCCGGGGCCGACCTTGGAATTCTAGGGCCTTGCCCTCAGCAGCACTGATGGGGTTAAGGTGCTCTCTCTGCTGAGACACATTCCTTCCCACTCCCCCCATGCCTGCCTGTGGGGAGGGGACCTAGGCACATTCCAAGGCTGCAGCTGCCAGTGCCCCCCCTGCATTCCCTTCCTTCGTGTCTGCACTCGCTGCCCCCAGGATGTGGCTCCTAGGCCCTGGTATCTGCCAAGACATGCACGTGCAAAGTCCCAGCCGGGAGCTGAGGGGTGGCCTTGCCCTGGGGATCAGGGGTAGGGGGAAACACCTGTCCTCAAGAAAGGCCACTACACCCACACTCCCTTTCCTGGAGATCGAGTCACTGAAGGGCAGCAGCCAGCTAGTCTGGCCTGCACTGGACCAGTGGCCATCACAGTCTGGTTGTGGACAGCTGTCCTCATGAAGGACTTCGGACGCTCTGCCTCAGTCTACTCCTTTGTAACTCCTGCCCACTACCTCCAGTTCTGCCAACCAAAAGCGAACAGTATCCTAGGCTCCCAGACAGGACCAGAGACACATTCTAGCCCAACCCCATCATTTTACAGGGAAGGGAAGTGATGTGACTTGCCCAAAGTCACGTAGATAGTCAGAGGCAGGACTCTACTCAGCTCTGGAAGGACTGTGGTGCCGTCCACGGAAAAGTCAGAAAGACCATGACCCTGTGGGGGTGGGGAAGGAAGGAAAAGAGAGCTCATGGATGCTATTTTGACAGATGAAGTTTGCGCTGCCAATGTGGCGTCCGAGTGGAGGGATCCAGCAGACAGTGGGCAAGGCTAGGCTGGAATTTATGAGAGAGGTAAGGGCTGGACACGCAGACCTGAATATTCTGCCCAGATAAGGAGCAGACTCCCTGGAGCTGATGAGATGGATGAGAGCATGGAGAGAAGAGAGGGCAAAGGGCAGAGCCTTGGGGCCACCCAGCAAAGAAGACAGAGAAGACTGGTCAGGCCAGAGGATGTGACGATCATGGAACCCTAGGGGAGGGGAAAGTGGCCAAGGGGGAGAGGGTGGGCAGACGCCAGAGTGGCCCTGGAAAAGGTAGCTGGATTTAGCGATTAGACCACTGCGCCCTTCCCTGGACCTTCCCCTGGTAGAATGGAAGCTGCTGGAGGGCAGAGCCTGCTTGGGGTGGCTCTCTGTACCCCCAGCACATTGACCCTGGGGCCTGGACCGGCCAGCCTGCTCCTCTGTTCTTCCCCTGGCTAGCATTCAGGGAACCCTGCTGCAGGACAAGCCCAAGCAGGCCAGGGTAAGCCAGGCCCAGAGAGGAGGGATGCTGGGGGCCCTGACCAAGGGAAGGCCGCGGTCCTGCCAAGCCTTCCTCTCCTCTCCCACAGTCCCGGGGGTGGGGGGAGGGGGTGGAGGGGAGCCTCACCTTAAAGACATAAGACTTCATCTAGGCCAGGGGTTCTTTGGGTGTCCTGGCCCATTTTAGGAGTCTGTGCTGAAGCCCATGGACCCCCTTACATGCACAAAAAATAAAATAAAAAAGTTCACAAAGGTATAGTGAGATATGATAAGTAAATTCTCACACAAGCCACTTCATGGATCCCTCAGGGGTTGAGGACCCCTCCCCCTAGGAGCAGTATCAAAGTCTAACATAAACAGGGGCCACAGAACCATCTGTAAGGATCCCTTCCTGTGGGTAGCAGTATCTTGACTTAGAAAACCACATGTTAATATTATCTACCTTTTGTTGTATCTTCCATTTATTTTGTTAAATATTTCCCAAATTATTATGTTTTAATTTCATTTTTTAATTATTTATTTTTATTATTTTTTCCCAATTTTTTAATCATCTTCTTTATTTGTAGCTCCAAATGCCACATAACTTTTGACAATTTACTGCCTCACAACCAAACCAAACAAAAACCGCATAAGCAAGGATTTCATTGGGAGGACTGGGGGCCTGGCCAGGTGTTTGAGAGGCCTGTTCCTTCCTGCCCCTTAGGAAGTGAGAGAGATCAAAC